CTGCTTCTAATATACTCTGAAAGCACAGCCCACCATATGCAATGTTAAGTACAGTGTCAATATTCAAGTAACAAGACAACAAGCAGATTTGTTACATAACGTATGTAAATATTATTAACAGAAACTGCCATACGATATCTCATGTCTGGACGGTTTCTGATCACCTATCTCTTCTGCCTCCTCAGTCTCCTAACTAAGACTGTCGTCAACAGGTACGGCGCACTCCTGTGCTGTGCTGAGGCAGAGCTCCTGAGCTGGCAGCTGTGCTGCTGCCCTGAGGAAACTTTGCATACCCACCTGCTTTTGATTTGCTTTCAACTTATCAGTACAATTTATTTTTATCATATTCTTGCCTACCTTTTATTTCCACTATCTGCATTTCTTGCAGTAAGCATCCCTCAAGTACAACGGCCATTTAAATGATAACATCAAAAATATCAAAAGGATCAGTAATCAGCAATCATGTTTCAAAGCAGCTAGGCTTGAAATTTCTACCATAAGTTAAATGAAAAAGCTGATAAAAGTTCAAGTTTAGGGGAAAAAAAGGAAGAAAATTACAAAATCCAACCATGAAAAGCACTTGCTAAACAGGGATTTATTTGCAGTCTTAAAAAAAAAAGTCTTTCATTTTAATAGATTTTTAAAAACAATTGGCTATAATCTGTTATGTGTGTGAGACAGAAAGAAAGAGTTAATTGAAAGGTGGAATAATTTTTGGACTTGAAGTCTTCCAAGTAGTACCCCAAAAGAATTTCTAAGTTCAATTGATTTTAAAACATTAACTCTTGTATATCTCCAAAGAGACACTTATATTGCACTTTTTTAATTGAAAGAAAAAAATTGCATTGTTTTCTGTGCCATTTGTTTATTCTAGTTCATCAGTGACCAAAGCTTAAAAAGCAGATATGCTGATTAATCACATCTTATCGATCAGTAGCATACGTCAGTATTTCACACAAATGTCTGCAGAACAATTTCTCCCAATCAAAAATTTATAAATCGATTTAAATTCCTGGTAATTAAAATTATTACCTCTACAAAAATAAATGAACTTTACAAAAGAGGTAAATGAAATTTGTACTCAAGAATATCAAAAACAAAACAGCAAACATTTCTATCAAACCAAGGTTCTAAGAACAAACTAGAAAGTACAAAACATAAAAGCCTGCAATTGTTTCAACTACACCTAGCAATTCTGCTGATTTTGGACCATTAAAACTGATTACTTAATTAGGCAATCATTCAAGGCATCCAAACACTCACAGCCAAAAACAGGGAATTATTAGCATAGCCGTCTTCACCTTGAGATGAAAATTCTGAAAAATGTTGCAGACACAAACTTTCAGGATCTGTCCCCATGCGTACACTAAGCAAAATACTGAATTCTAAAAGGTGACATGCCAAAGCTCAGGAAAAAAAGAATTTACCTATAATGATACTGCTCATCTGCTTTTTTTTCAGGTGGCTAATATTTTAAACTACCTTAGAAACGTCAAGTTATAATACAGACGATCTCTAGATTCTTGGAAGTACTGCTCCCTTTCTCCCCTCTGGTCATACTCTTGTACTAGCTAAAAGTAATTAACAAAAATTTTGCTCTCTTGTATGCCTATCAGAAGTACCAGCCTCCAAAGTTCCTGCCTGACATGAATAAAAACAACAGAAAGATTTTCTATTTATGGTAAAAAAAAAAAAAAGTACTGGAAACTCAACCGCAGGAGTCTTTAATATAACTGAGGAAAAAACTCTATGTTTTCACTCAGAGACATTTTTAAGAATTTCACTGATTTGGTGCAGTCAGGAAAAAGAAAAATATTCCATTTTCAAAGAAGATGGTTCCTGAAATAATTCTAAAGTGACCCTATAAACTGTCTTTTTAGGAGAAGAAAAAAGAAAGTCAACTCACACATACAGCTTCCAAACAGAAGTCTTACCCTCTTCCAGGAAAACAACGAGACTTTATTACCCTGCTATGATTCGTTCATTTCAGACATGATTAATTAGCAAGTATTATACTTCCCAAAACTCCCACCACAGTCTTTGTGATCCATCAGCCTAGTTGTTGATAGACCCATGTGAAATAGCAAGTAGCCACCAGCAGTAAAAGACAAGTATCCAAAAACTCTATTTCAAAGAAGGAACACCTCTCTCCTAGCTTTGCCTCCCAAAATGAAACAAGCTGCTTTTAACTGCTTTCACGAAAAAAAAAAAATTTTTTTAAGTTGGTCATTTTCTTAATAATACCGTTTAGAATTTGAATAATGCATGCAACATATTCAGTATTTAAGAATATATGGCATATTTAATCTGCTACCTACCTATATTTTTAAGCTGAAATTCTGAAAGACTTGAGTTCCTATAGTTTATATTGATAATGATCCACATGCACAGTTAATAAACAATAAAGATGATGTGAGCAAGCATGTTTTGGGAAATGGTTTTCATAGGGAAAAATGTTTCTTCCCCCACTAAAAGCTATTATGTCACACATGTAATGAAAAAGTGAAACAGAAATACAGAACTAAAAGGCAATACGAAGAGAAGAGAGCCACTCTACAATCTGAGTGAATGAAAACTCTGGTTCTCTGTATATTGTTCTAAGACACTGTTTCAAAATAATTTTCCCTTTAAAACAATCATTTTCAAAATGTCCATGTGAACCAAGAATGTGGCCATAACTGAATGTACTATAAATATGTATTTGAACAACTGTCAATTTATAAAGGTTGGGGTTTCCTCTTAAGCCTTTCAACTGTTATGTCCAAAAAACTTCACACATAGTACAATACTAATAAATAGATCTTGTTGGTCCCAGGAAACATTTTTTTAAATCTATTCTGGTCAAAATATCCTTGCTTTTTTTTTCCCCGTTGTATTAAATTTAGGATCAAAAACATCAAAGCAGCTTCCACCTCGGACCTAACTTTTAGAGGATCAATGTGACAAGGCAGTCCCTGATAGATGTTTCTCTTGATAAACGACTTGTTCAAAAGAGACATTGTAGCTTTCATTTCCTGACCACAACACACTTTTAATTTGCAACAGCAGAGCTGCCAGAGTGTGAACCCTTGTCCACTTTCCAGCCTTTTAGGTTTGTAGCTCTGGTTCCTATAGGCCACACATTTGAGACAAACAAAATCTAAAAATAATCAGAGTAACAGAATTACAAAACAGGAGCCACTTATGCCACTCTATACATATGCACAAGTGTCTACTTTATAGATTATATATAAACTTTGCCTCTGCAGAATTCTAGTGTATAAAAACAAGCTTTCTGAATGAATATCACTTGCACAACTGGGCATTTAAACACAGAGGGAAATAAATTATGTGACTATTATTTAATAGTAAGCAGAGACTGGGGGAGTAATTTATACACTTAAATCTGCTGTTAAATGTCATGAATTATATGATTTCCTACCCCAACGTGTTTTTTACATATTACTGCAATAATTACTATTACTACTACCCAGAAATCACATTTAAGTATCAATACGGTGAACAGTCAAACCATCCAATTTCTGTTCTCAGCACATTGTCCGAGCTCCGATTTAAAATTTATAAATGTAATATCCTCCTCATCACAGGCAGCAGCCCAATCTGCTCTGAATATATATTACAGCTTTAACATCACAGAGGGAAATCGCCCATCTGGCAATCCCATTCGCTCCAACAGCTCCGGGGGAAAAAAGCTGTGCTCTCTCCTCCTTAAAACATTTCTCAGGGCAAATTATGTGCATCTAAAATAAACAGTCTTCTTATTGATCGCTTCAAAGTCAACAAGTTCCAAATGCAAAATTCAATCAAATCCTTCCTATCATGTAAGAGCGGTGTGTGTTTAGCTCAACAGTCACCAGAGTCCAACCAGAAGTGTCTGTCGCGCATCGGCTCTTATAGTCCCTTTCCTTGTATTCACATTTGTGTTATGAGAGACCAGTAACCACGGCCACATTACAGACCCCTGGCAGCTATCTCTACTGCTATTTCTTTCTTTCATATTCTTCCTTTCCTCCTTTCTCTCTTTTCAGGGTGAATGCATGGTGGTGGGGTTATATGTAACAAAAACAAAAAAATGTTTAAAGTGGACATATCCTTTGGTTATGCAAAATACTTTTTAACATCTTTTTGTTGTTGCTCCCTCCTAGTCTTAATTGAATATCACAAAGTGTACACACGGTCACAAGAGCTATTGAAAACCCCCTCTCACTCCATTTATCTGACCTCTTTTTCTTTTTGGTAAAGAAAGAGGAAAGAGAGATTTCAAACAAAGTCAATTTCAGTGCCTGCTTATTTAATTCTGTCACAGGTTAAAAGTAAAAAGCGCTGACAGGCAGACAAGTGAATGGCAAGGAAAAAAAAAAAACAAAACCCTACCACTGTTCCTTAAAAGGCATTAAGGACTTTAAACAATCAAAATACATTTTTTATTTTCATGTAAAAGATATCCCTTCACTCACCCCCCCCCAAAAAAACACACTCAGAAGAAGTGATTACTCCACAAAGTGCAATCATTGAGAGAGCAGAGAGTCAAATTGCATTAATAGAGAAAAAAAAATTTCATCCACTTCTGTGTGTGTACATATATACATACACTTTCATTAGTAAGCAGTCTTTCCCCGCACTCCCGCCCTCTCCCCTCTCCACCCAGCCCCCTCCCCCAAAAAACTGCACACTGAGTTTAACTAATTTACATACCATTTTGACTTCAGCGGTTATATAGTGCATTACTAGTAACATGCAACTTTGGAATTACAGCTAAAACCGATAAAGGTGGACTCCAGCAATCTATTAATCAAAACTGAAATATACAAACAAGCGATAGCAAAAGCAAACAAGCATTTTGATAGATTAAAATATACATTATACATATATATATTTTAAAAGGAATTATATATCATGAGCAGCTCCTTCCCAAGCAGAGTCTTCAGTGGTTTTATCATGCTATTTAATTTGTCTTTCCTAGTTAGATGCAAAGGAAGTAAATTCCAAAACTGACATACCATAAACACTGGTGCTACTGATCATTTCTTGCTGGCAGCACAAAAAGCTGAATTGGATTTCTCACAAGCAGGAATTCCAAAGGTTGCTTTTCATTAAAGCCACTTTTCCTCTCAGCTATCAAATGTCACTGCCTTGAAACGTGGGCCCTTTCGTCAGGTATTCATTTAACCTACATGCATATAATTAAGGGGGAAAGCAACATCAACAAAAAGGGGATCTCAGATCACAGGAGAAGAAAGAAAGGAAAAAAAGCACATGACCAGGAATGCAAGTCCATGTCAATTTCACTCACTCCCATTGAAACTAACAAGAGCTCCGGGGAGGACGGTAATAGGATCAGTGGATTGTATATACCATTAAATTATACATCTTTCTCTCCCGTTCCTTGCCAACAATACGCCCACCACGCTGTACCCCCTCCAAGATGATGTGCTTACATTTTTCTGCAACCGATCTTCTGACATATTCACGTTCCTCCAGCCACGAGATTGTAATTTAACCTCAACTTTTTGTGTGTGCAAGATTCTTATTTACACTTCTTATTTACTTAGAAGTTAGTTCCCGAAGAAAGTCTAGCCCCACCCTATGGCTCCGCTTTCTTATTTTTTATCTTTGAAGTAAAAAAGATAGTAATAAGTAAGCCCATTATAGCGGAAAACGAGATTCTTGCAATCGCGAACTCTTAATCCCACACTATTGTTACAATGATTAAGCAGCAAAAATATGCATTATAATGTTTCGGGGCTACTTTGTACAGAGAAATTAGACAGCAGGTTGGCGTACAGAATAGAAACGAGTGCAAATTAAATTTAATGTTTACGGCACAACTCGAAGATCTCTTTTCATTACGGTCTTGAATTTATTTATATTCTTTAAAAATTAAACAAACAAAAACAAAAACAAATTTAAACAGCTGGTGGAAAACTACGAAGCTCCTCTTACCTGAACGCGCGGAGCGAAAACCCGATAGGTTAGCGTAGCATCGATCCGATGTGTTTGCTGATGAATGGAAGCTAGGGTTAAGTGAAGGTGCCTATGATTTGAAATCATTCCAAGTTTTTGAAGGGAAGACGGACTGCAGCCTCTGCCATGTTGGAATTTCAAACCCAAAACAGCTGCTTGGAAGGAGCCAGCATGCCAGAGGCTGGGCGCAGGCGCAGAGCGCCGCCGAGCCAAATTCAAATCACTTTCACACTAAGAGCCAAAGATCAGTTTTCAAAGGAGAGAGGGAGAAAGAGACGGAGGCTGCCGTGAGGGAGAGAAGACGGGAGGCAGTGGCGAGAGGCGGGCAGTGGAGAGAGACGGGCAGCGGCAGGACCGGGAGGGAGAGGGAGAGGCGCACGGAGCCCGCGGAGCTGGAGGGGGAGAAAGGAGGCGGGAGGCGAGCGGCGAGCGAGCTAGAGACGCGCCAGAGATTCATGGGCAGGGAGGGCTCAATGGCCGCGCCGCGCCGGCCGGCCGGCCGCTCGGGTCATGTTACACGGCCGGGGCCGCGGCGGCCGCCCAGCCTCGCCAACGCGCTCACGCGGCCCGGAGGGGGCCCCGAGGTCATGATTACGAGCGCGGGGACCGGGAGCTCTGCCGGCCCGCACTCTCAGGCGGCCCAACCTGAGGAAAGGGGAGCGACGCCTCGGGAGGGAAGGGGCCTTTCTTTCCCACGCGTGACCGGCCGGCCCTAGCGCTCCTAACCCGCCTTAAAGGGCTCTCCGGCACGCCGCCCCTCCCCGCCCGCTCCAGGCCCTCTCGACAGCTGCGGCCGGTTCAGCCTTCCCCACCCCCAAGACTCGCGCACAGGACGGGATCTGGCCCCGAGAGCCGGGACCTCGCCCGCACTCTCCCCTGGGCCCCCAGCACCAGCCAGAAAATGACTTTATCTGCCAAGAGGAGGCAACTTCGGGGCGGGGGGGGGGGGATCCGAATTAACCCAGCTCCCCTCCCCCGCTGCCCTGTGAATCAATAAAATCCGGAGTGGCTAGGTGTGCGGTCCACTCTTCCGCTCTCTGGCTCCCCTCCCTACCTCCCCCAGGCGGCTCGGGCAGGGGAAAGCAGCGCCCGGGGGCCCCTGGTGCGGGCGGCTGGTGCGCAGGCACAGACGTTAGGCTTCTGCTTTCCCAACCCCCTTCTATGGAGCAATCTAGGGACCCAGGAGTGGGAAGAGAGTAGGGGCTTTGTGGCGCTGGGAGCTGAAGAAGAATGAAATGTGCAGTTGAGTGTGTTGCTGCATCCCAGGGAGCGGTGCAGTGCTGATTGTCTGTTGCTGAGATAGCCTTTTGTTCGGAACATAAGGTTTAAGAAACACGCACACGTTTTCTGGGGTCTCTTGTTAGATGTAAATGTGCTGCATCCAGACGCTTACTATGCAGTGTAAGCTCAGTTGGTTTACTAATCACCCCGCCCCACCCCCAAACAACCAGAATCATTTGAATGGGAGCCTCATTCAGACTTCTAGGCTGCGAGTATTGCCTTCAACCTATTTCATTCTAGACTAGCCAACCATCCAACTGAGATAATAAAGCAAAACAATAACATTTGATCATGATGTCTACGAGATAATGTGCCCGGCAAAGTTCTTTAGAAATTGTAATGAGAAAGAGAGTGAGTGGGGTAATAATTTCTCTTCGTTTACATTAAATAGGACTTTAATAGATAAATGGTAAGTTTATACTCTGGCCTGGTGGACATCCGGTCCTCTATATTTCAAATAAGCTAAGAATGAAAGAGGCAAATTAAATATTGGACCAGGAGCCCATCAAGCTGAAAATGTTATCTGTGAAGGCTGGAACTGAAAACATACTTGTTTAGGACTGACCCTCCTCATAACGAACGGTATTCACATTTCCCCCCGCTTCTCAGCTATAGATTTAATAGACTAAATTACAGCTCTCCAGATGATGAAATGCAGCTTTTAAAATATACCAACTATATACTGCGAAATTAATTTCATTCTCCTTCTGTGATTTTCTTACCTTACGGTTAGCTATTGAATGGATGCATTTACCTAACACAAGAGAAAGAAAAATGATTTTAGTTAAATCTAGGTAGATAACAGAATTTAAAAGACAAGAAAAGGTGATTCAAAATCTTACTAAATATTTCTAGGGAATGAAATCTCTATTTGGAATAGATTTGACCTTTCTGTGTTTTTTTTTTTTTTTAAAAAAAACAGGCTTCAAAATACAACAGAACTTTATTCTGATCTAACAGAGAACACTGAAGCCCCTTTAGTTATATTTTACAAGATAGCTTTGAAAATGATATTATGAGAAGTTGCCCATTGGATTTCACCACAAAGGAATAAGTGTAGGAAAGTATCTATGGGTCACTGTTGGACTGAGTACAGATGAATTAAACAACAACAACTGTGAAGAATTTATAATTTCAGTTATTGCCCATGTGGAGAATGCTGATGATAAGTCCTCTGTGCAATTCAAGCAAAACTGCTCTGTCCTTGTTTGTTAAAAAAAAAAAAGTTCAAAGCTCATCAACCTTTAACACTAAATTCCTAGTACTGAATTTACAGTTCCTCATGTAAACCAAAATACTGAATAAAATAGAAATAATGGAATGACCACTTGAGTAAAACACAATGTATTTTGACGATCGACTTAAAGAAATTCATTTTCAATATTTACAACAAAATAAGCCTTACTTTTAAAAAGGGGCAGGAAAAGTGTGGTTCCCAGAAGTTTATTAATAGATAAGTAGTACTTTTTTCAATTCTCTTATATATTCATTTGAAATACAGATTATAAAATCCATTGTTCAACATACAAATGAACATAATTAACTTGGAATCAAAGAAAGGAATCTATTCAAAAGAGCACTGCTTATATTTACACAGAGTTTCCAAAGTGTCCAAAATTACATATACTCCCAGGAAAAAAAGGCTTATATAATAAAATATTATGGGATTTGCACGACTAATAAAATCCACAGTGGAGTTTGTCATCCCACCATTTCTAGTTTGCTTTCTTTCCTTCTTTTTAGGTATGGATAAAGCTTGCTTTCCTTCAATTACATTTTGCAGAGGAATATGAAACTTTGTTTTTCAAAAAGATTCATTCTTTGTTTGAAAAATTAGTACAACGTTTAGTTTTTGTTGTCTTAATGAAACTATTTGTAACGTAATACGATTAAGTAGCATTTTAATAGTCGCCATATTCTATCTATATTTTTTTAAGTTTTATTCAAAAGAAATGTTTTTGGTTGTAACTGACACCTACCTCTATAACATATTTTACAAAACTTTTCTTGTGATGCCATGAAAACAAGAAATTGTCTTTAAAGGAAGCTGATTGACTAGTCAAGGAAACAGTTAATTCAGTGAAAAACTGTGCTAATTTTTTCCCACTGCATTATATACACTGCTTATCTCTTACTTTTTTAAGGTAGAGAGGATACATATAATGAATTTCTAATACACAGTATATTCTGACTTGGGCTTTTCAAGAAAATCAAAAGAAAAATAAACATTAAGTATCCTTTTTTCCTTCATGAGTGTGTGTGTTTGTGTGTGTGTGTTTGTGTGTGTTACTCTCAAGCTAATTCAGAGGGAAAAATTCATTTACTTATTCCTGTTCTTATTCTCACTACACATATAAACAACAATCAAAGTGAAGGGTAGGGAAATAAGCAAGGTGATACTGAATGGGGTTTTGCAGGTGACCATGTGTTTGTCTGCACTGGACTAAGGATAATTTGACCCAGGGTAAACACAAAGATGTGCTTTACCTATGTGACGGGAGAGGAAAGAGAAAGGAAAAGATGAGGTTAGACAGTGTAGAGAAGATGAGGGAGATGCGGGTGACAAGATGCTTTACAGAGAAAAACAAGTTTCTATAATTTTGGTTTATTAAGAAATGCTCAACACAATTCAATTTAACTTTTAAAACTGCTTTTTAGTTTCAAACTCAAGGGCTAACTATTTTAATAAACATTAAACCAGTAATATCTTCCTCCAAACTACTGTTTCAAAAAACATTCCAAGACTTAGAGCTGTTTACTAGACGTACATAATTTTTTCATATTGCTCACAAAATCTGAAGTTAGTCTTACAATAATGCAAATTACTGGCACAGTAATTTTTTAATGTTTCCATAAAATTGCAGTTTAAGGATCTTCATTTGCACTTCAATTTAAAAGACTACTGAGAAGTTCTTATGCACTATCCCACCTCCTCAAAAAAAAAAAAAAAAAAAACTAGTGAAGACCTTGACCTCATTTTTGTGAAATTACTCAATTTGTTAGAATTACACTTGAATACAGGTACTGTCAAATAGTATTAGAGTGGTCCATATATCTCCTCCATGATCTAACCCTACAGTGGAGAGACAACCAGAAAATCCTGTGATAGGTTCACCAGAGATATTTTCTTGGTTTTGCAAAAGTGTCTTCTTCTAGTAACCTGAGGATTATATTTTTTCATTCACTCTTTAAATGGTGGTACTTTGTATATTTGCTGCAACCTCTGCCTGATTTTGCATGACTCTCATTTAGGAAGCACATACTGAACGCTTACTGTGGTTAAAAGTATTGCACTAAAACTTGCAGAGGATTTAAAAGAAAACTGACGTTAACATTTTATGGATGTGCACAGATAAATATAGTTCAAAGTGAATGTTGAACTACAGTAATAAGTGACTCATAAAGAGGTTCTGTCCAAAAGATACGGGTTCTTTCATGAAGGAGAGGGCAGTTTTCCTGGCCTTTGTAGTCTTAATCTTTATTTTCCAATACAACAAACCGCTTGTAGTTTGCATATACCACGTCGTCTGTTCCCTTTGTGCCTTGTTTTTCATTGTGCAACCTGGTTTGCCCTCCTTTTCTGTGAGCTAACTCCCTGCAGACTTTCAGCACCTATCTCCCCCAAGGAGACTTCCCAGCCTTCCTAGGGGCACTTCAGTATCTTTCCCCTGGGCTCTTTTCAGACTCTGTATCTCTCTCTCTCTCTCTCTCTCTCTCTGCATTATCACATCATTTAAAAAGTATCTTTGTGTTTGAGCCCTCTGTTAGATTGTGAGCTTCTGGAGGGCAGGCAATCATTGTAACTTCCATCTTTGTTTTGTTTTTGGTTTTGCTTTTGTTTTCCCCCCCAGTGCTTAAAATAGTGACAATAAACATTTAGTGATTAAATGTTTATTGAGGAAATTAACGAGTTGACAAGTAGAGGAAATAGGGATTCACAAAGGCAGTGGGGAAGGAAACTATTGGGGCCTTTGCAGGAAACAACATATAATCTAGTTTGGTTGAGCCTTTGCTGTACACAGGCACAAAGGGGGAAATAAGGATGGGAATGAGAATGGGGGATGCATTATGGAGGAACTTCATTCTGTCCTTGGATGAGAGGTTTGCATTTCAGTAGGTAGGTAATAGGAAGCTCTGGAAGGTTTTGATGCCAGAGATTTATGAGGTCTGAGACCTGCTTTAAGAAGATATAGCTAATAGAACTGGAAATGGGGAGACCGGCTGGGAAGTTACTGCAATGGTCTATCATTTTCTGGTTCCTCAAACTGTCAATCCTTCTTGTAGGGTTTGGTGAAATGATTCCTCGCCTTTTTTATAGATGGTCTATCTGTATTGATTGCTCAATACTACACGTTCATTTTGTAATATAACAAAATGTCAGTGTGTTTAAAGGCATTCATTTAATGTCAAAGATATAAAAAGGTACAATACGTTGGAACGGAATGTTTTCCTTCCTCAACCTGAACATAGTCTTTCTTCTCATTATTTCACCTCCCCCTACCCACCACCATCACTGCCACTTTACAATTAGTTCCACTCAGCCTGTGCTTTTAGCTTAGCAGGTATTTCATTTTCAAGGGAAGTAATGCCTGAAGATAAGAAAAGTTCCTCCCTGGAGTATGTGTGAGCAAGCAAAATAAGCAAAGTGAACTTGGTTTTTATATACTGG